ATTCGGGTCACAACCAGAGTCGCGGAACGAATTAAGTTCGTGACCCGAGGTACCACTGTATTCTCACTTGAGACCTTCAAAGATTTTGGGGCTAGAGTGCTGAAATCTTGCAAGATTTAGCCATCTCATATTTCAGCCATTTTTAATTGGGGGGTTGAGCACTTGTGCCATCTTGCAGAATCACATTACATTACTTCATGTCTGAACAGGTTATCAGCCCCTACTGTAGGAAAATGAAGGCGCTGTCTGATTTGCTGTGATTCTTCCTCAGTTAAATATTGTTATAAACTAGCTCATAGAGCTGAATACATTTATCTATTTTACTATTTCATTACATCATAGATAATTTTAGAATTAGCTATTGATTAATGATAACTTTTTTTCTCTTTCTCTATCCCTATTTCTTAGGTTTTGGAGGTACAAAAAGGAGATGAAGTTTGGCTCCCACTCTGCCTAAGCAAGTGAATAAAAGCAGCATTTCAGCAATTATGAAACTTGTATTAACCCTGTTTGCTAGAGTTATAAAACTCCAGTTTTGTATTCAGCTGAATATGTTTGTATCTGTGCATCCTTAATAATGTAGTTACATTTATTTTGGAACAGAAGCTTTTGACAGAATAGGGAAGTTTCTCATCTCTAACAGGGAACTGTGTTCTATAAAGAAGGGGGAGAGCCTTCTGCAATCTAGTGCCTTTCAGATGGGTTGGAGTATCACTCCTGGAATTAACAGCTTGCCATCACGTTGGGGACTGGAGATTGGAATATTAGTAATAATTAGATTTTTTTAAAAGTTGGAAATGCCACTTTTTAAGGCCTCTCTGAAAATGGCTGTAATTTGTTATAAAAACAACAAAGAATGAAATATTACTTTCTGAATAGTGTTACTCTATAGACTAGACAGAGTGATCTAAGTTTGTTATTTTCTTTACAATAGTTCTTCAGAAAGATCTGAGACACGGGAAAAAATCCGCGAAGCAATCCTGTATATGTCAGTTAGTAATTCCACTAGGTTCAGTGGAATCTGCTCCCCAGTAGGCATATATTGGATTATATGCCTGACCCCAACCATTTCTACTAAGGGGCTACTAACTACATTCAGCTCATTTGATGGAATCTGGTACAGATCATACTTTGGAGTGCATTTTCAGGGATGTCAGGAATTCCTATAGAAGGCTAGTTTGTATGCAAAATTGTCCTTTATTAGATCAGCCATTACATTCTTGGCATGATGGGACATAAATGATAATGCACGGTGAACCCATTTTTTATTGGCATCTTGTTTACGTCCAGTGGCTCAGGTAAAGGTAATGCTTTCTCTCTAGTACTTGCTCCTTTCAGATAATCTTTCTTCCTAGCTTTTTAATGAATATTTTCTTAGTTTCCATTCCTCTATCCACTGAGAGGAAACAAACAGCAATCTCAAAAGTTTGTATTTAAATTTCAAAATAAAGTAACAATGCCTGAAAGTATGTCATAACTGAATTTTAATCAAGATTTATTTCTTCATTAACACTTTTTAAATATTTAAAACAATGAGTGAATGAAACAGCTATGCAAAGAAACTCTCTGATAATTGTTTAGTAAGCAAATTAATAAAATTCAAATACATAAAATCACATTAAAGAATCAACACAGTCACAAAATTATAAGCATAGCAATACAGTAATAAAAGGCAGGGACATTTTGATAAACAGAAGAACTCCACAAAGATTGAAGCTCCCTCATAATAGTTGAATTAATTTAATCCAAAACTCTGGTGTCTCTTGTATTGCACTGACAATATTTATGCATGTAATACTATAATGCCAGAAACTGATTTTTTAAAACAAGTATGTCTTGCTCTATAGTTGTTGAATGCTGAAAACTAATCTATTTAAGGAACATAATGGAAACCTCTGGAGTCTTCCTGCTGACATAGCTTTGGCTCTGACAGACATAATATTAACATGAAAGCTACTCTTGGATGCTTTCTGACTGAAGAGCAGGGTTGAGAGACAGAGAGAGAGAGAGGTATACATACACACACACACACACACACTTATTTATTTCAGGGTGATGCCCCATGGGAATTGAATGTTACTAGATGTTATTCAATGATAGTGGTGGAGATACAGTAACTGAGTCAATGGCTGAAATGATCATGGCAGTACTGTCGGGGAGCAAGCTCCAATAGAGTACTGAGTTATTGTAGACTGGAACAGAAGTTTGTTCAGGGAGGCCTGCCCTGCTGAAGTACTGGGAGGTACATGTCACCTGCAGGCTGCACTGAGGCAATCTCCTGGGTGGCGCTTTGATCCAAGATTTATGTATGCTTGTTGGCATCACAGGAGAGGAGGTCTGGTTGAAGGTTTTCCTGCTTGGGAATTGCAGCAGCATGAATTTTGGCTCCTGAAATACAGCCTTCCAGTAGACCTGAGAATGATGACCTGAGGCATGGCAGTGAAGTCTGGTCAATGGGAGTGGGGTCATGCTAAAAGATACATGTGTTATTGGTCTGTACTGTAAACTAACCTTGTGGCTTCCAGGTGTAGATAGTTTTGTGTCCACGCCCGAATCTTTCCGAAAATCAGCCTGGAGGATCTGTGTTATGTGCTGACAGCTAGGATTGTCTCTTGGATTGCTGCCTAGTTGTTTGATCTGGAATACATCCTGGACTGGACTGGGGATGGAGATTGGGAAGTAGAAACAGAATTGTGTCAGTTAGTGGCTCTGATAGCTTGGAGCAAGCAGGATTGAAGTGGACTGTGTGGTTAAGTAAGTGATTGGAAAACCCACAAGAGCCAGACATCGCTAGAGCTGCTGGCTGACTGTGCAGAAGCAGCTTTTGGGATGCTGTGTTCTGATGGAGGTGGATTGTGCAGTTGGATGTAGAGTGGAATGTGAAGTTGGGGGCCCTCATGGCCTGGGAGGGGGAGAGCAGGGTTTGGGGAGAGGTTGAGATGGAGGGGGGTGAAAGGCAGGAGGAGACCTCACAGGGCTTTGTGGGTGGACCACCCATGGGAAAACAGTTGATGTCTGTGACTGATCCTGATTTCTGGCCTCTAGTATTCACTTTTGAAGCTCTATTGCTAGATCCCCAGTGGCCTGGTATCTGGCTGTTGCTACTAAATCCTATGATTTGATTGTGGATGAGTTAGCTGACCTGGCATGGATAATCTAGACCTGTTAGCCTCCTCTCTCAGATATACTCACTTGGGTTTTGAGTTTGGCAGCAACCATGACCCAAGGGTAGGAGAGTGAGATAACAGTTGTCATCTGGGAAGCCCTAACCACTTTCAGAAGTTCTGCACTGCAGATAACTGGAAGTGACACCTTGTGGTTGATACTGGTCTCTAGAGATTTGTTGTTATTGGCTTCCCTACTGTGCAGTGACATCCTTGCCTGAGCTGCTTAAATGTCCTTGTGTGAGATAGAATCTGGAGGGGCCCAGGAATTCATGGCCACCATGGTAATTATGGAACTGATTCAGGTCACTGAGTGCCTGGTGCACAAAGGTGGCTGCATATAAGATCTGTTTTTGTCTTGTGGCAGTTGTGACATGATCTGAGGGTGGAGAATCTTACCATCAGTCTTTTGTTGTTATCAATTACCTCTGGTGCAGCCAGGACAGAGGTGGTGGTGCAATCGTTATAGTCTGGTTGTTGTTTGGCTTGCTGATGCTGTCCCCCACTTACCAGGGGGAAATTAGACCTGTTTGATCAATCCCTCCCCAGGCGACTAATGGACCTGGATCAGTTTCAGAGGGAGCTTGAGGAACTGCTAGGCAGTTTCGTTGAGGCATTAGTGTGCAACTGGAATGGGGGTGTGACAAGGGCCTTGGATTGAGGATTGCCCCTATTTAGCCTCTTCTCTTCAGTGATCCCAGTGGGTTCTCTGGTTTTTTGAAGAGTCCCAAGAAATAAAACTAGACAAGAACACCTAGCGTGCTGTTGGAGAAAGATGAAGAGTAAATCCAACTGAGCACCTGTAGTATGAGCCTATATTAGGGATTATGCCATGGCAATTAAGAGTGGCTAAATGTATTAATTTTTCTGCTCTTACTGTGTTCACAGATGGCTGGCTAGTGGCCCTTTTAAGGTGAACTTTGCTAGGGAGAGATGGTCACAAGAACATCTTTAGAGCCAGTGTGAATAATAGTCTTGGCATCTGATAGATAAAATCACTCATATCTGCTTGGAGCTGGGTTCTGACTGGGAAAATTCAGTCAAGCTGGCTGAGGCATAGTCCTGCTCAGTTATCTGGGAAGAGTGATAACTCCTGAAGTAGACAGATCTTTTGGGACTGTTAGCCCAGCCAACAAGTGCCTTCCTGGTTGGTGAAGGCCTCCTGGGAGGTGATGTGGTTGAATCCATGTGGTGTGACTTTCTCTCTGAGAGAGAGAGTTGTTCTGCCTGCCTTGAAGGATACAGTAATGTGCTTCCTCCTCAAGAAACAATTGCTAGACCCAACAGAACCTTGACGACTTTTGCTCAGTCTCCAACTTCCCCTTTCTGGGGGGTGGTGGTGGTTGAGAAGATAATTGGGCTGAAGCTTTAGAGGGCCCTGTAGGAAATGGATTATCTGGATCCTATTCAGTCAGGTTACAGGCTGTGGGATAGCACTGAGAAGGTATTGATCACAGTTCTCAGTGATCTATGGCATATGATCTATGGCATAACCAGGCAGGGATGGTGCAACTATCCTGGCTTTCCTTTATCTTTTTAAATAAATGCCTAATTGTATTTCAAATTTTAAACCATCTTTCTTCAGATGGCTGATGGCTGGTAATGATAGAAATCCAGCATATTTGGCTGTTGGAAACTCTATGTTAGGATTTCCCTTAATGTTGTAAAACCACTTCTTCAAACTGAATTCTGAGGAACTGATTTTGTTCAAAAGCTTATGAAAGGTTTCTTCATTATAATGGCAAGAAAATTGTTTAAAAAACCATAATGATCACAGTCAATAGGATCACTATCCTACTGTGATGCACAATTTAAGGGGAGAGTTTGAGGTATACTCTAAATTCATACAGGTGACAACTAGTCCCAGTTATTTTAGTAAAAACCCTGTGAATGCTTGTTAGAACATGTTCCAGGATTCTTTGGAAGGCATGAAGTCCAATAGCAGTAAAATGAGAGAATAGAATAGAACAGAACAGAACAAAATAATAGAATAGATGACTTTTCCATTCCTTCCTTTGAATTTGTCTGCCAGTCTTATCCTGGTTTAGTCAAGATATTAAGCTGAGCCAAACAATGGCTTGTACTAAGATGAGTAAACAGAAGAAAAACTTCCCATGCCTTCTCCCCTACAATTACTGTATTCTTTCCCCTTCCCCAAAGCTTCTGTGAGGATTAGGAAATGGAATTTGCCCTAATTGGTTGGAATTTAACCTGCTTAACAGCAATTCAGTTCTCACCCAGTAGCCCAAAGCATTCCATCCCATATTAAGTCCTCCAAGATGATCTACCTTTAATTGGGGTGGGTGGGGGCGGTGGACATAAATAATTGATCTGCGATTATCCTCAATTTTTGTTTTCTAGGATGTTTACAAGGCATTACTGGAAATAAATCTAATTCGGAAGCTGCCACTTAGCTTTGTAATATGCCATATTCTCTAATATAGCCATATAATTCACAGCCCAAATTCTGCAGTGCTTGGAGCACTCCAAGATTGCTCTGAGTGGCCAAATCTCTAATTTTCAGTGACACGAGGTTCCATATTTGTCTTACAGAAGCTTAACACAGAAATTTAGCTGTTCTCTCAGTCACCAGCAAGGCCAGAAAATGGTCTGAACATTTTTGATTCAATCTCCCACTAGTGAAACTTGCAGCCATTGGAGTCCACAATAATAGGGGAAAAAAGTCTCCAGGCCAAAAAAGTTCTTGTGTCTTAATTATACTTAATTATATATAAAATAGACTGGTGGTGCAGAGAGAGGTCTGTAGCCATCAAAGAATATGTCTGTTTATATTGGTGTAGATTCTTCCAGTCTAACACTTACGATAAATATATGTATACCTTTAAAAATTGCAACCCTTTAAAAGCCATGAATTTTACAAGGCAGCTATCTGTAGTGCCAAAGACCTTAAAGCTTTTCAAGTGATAATACGGATACTGTCATAAAGTAAATGTGAATAAACAAACACTCTGGGACTGTCTGCCCACAAGATCAAAGAGAAAGCAAAATCCCACATAGAACCCAATTTGAGTTAACTTCAGCATGCAAGAAAGCCAGTTCCTAAAAATGCAATTCTGATCATATTAACCTGACAGTATCTGACCAGTTCACCAACACAATTTTCCCATGATAACTTGCATGAAACTAAATTCATTCTCTGCTGATCCATTGTTTTGCAACCTAAACGAGCTCTCGTGTTGATTCCATTCAGAATCATGCAATTTTATAATAATAAAAAATCCAAACAGCACAAAACAGTAATACTTCTATGGAGCCTAATTTAAAATGACACAAAATCTGGAGCCACTTTTCTGCATT